ACGTACACATAGATCTCTCACACACACACACACACACACACATACACACACACACTTAGCGCACTACACGACACACTCACACACACACGCACTCACACTCAGCAGCTAACGTACACGTACACACACACACTTAGCAGCTAACGTACACACGGATCACACACACACACACACACTCAGTAGCTAACGTACACATAGATCTCTCACACACACACACACACACACACATACACACACACACAGAGCTGCTAACGTACACACACACACTTAGCTGCTAACGTACACACACACACAGAGCTGCTAACGTACACACGGATCTCACACACACACACACGCACGCACGCACACGCACGCACACACGCACACGCACGCACACGCACGCACACACACGACACACACAGGAACAGAACCATCAGAGCAGAGAGAGAGAGAGAGACTACAAAGCGAGCCTCGCTCGGCCGTATACTGCATGTCTGAGTATGTGATCTCAGTTTGAGATTTGGTTTAGGAACCGCATACGGATCTGTATCGCTTACCTGCACTGACGGCACTGCTCACGTTCTCCCCTGAAAAAAAAAAAAAAACATACACCGTTAAAAATGAATCTTCAGGGGTTCTTTCAGTGAATAAACTGATTCTATATAGAACCATGAACACTCATCATAAAAGGGTTCTGTTGTTACAATGTCAAACTTGTCATGAAGCATTTTTAAAAAGGTTCTTTATAGAACCATATACAACAAATATACAAATGAGCTTCTGCCCAAAACACATCTATTGTAAAAAAAAATAAATAACAATAATTATTAAAGGAAATATGCTGGTAAATTAAATGACTGTTTATGCATTTCCAGCTTTCCAAAATTAAAGGAAATTCCTGCGTGAAAGACTAGAATTTTTTTTTATTAATATTTTTAGCCATGTAGCACCAATTACTTAATTTACTTAATTATTTAAGGGTTCTCTCTGGAACCCTCTAGCATTTTTGTCATGTTTTTATTTTTTTGTGGTATTAACTTTGTCTCATGTATTACTGCTTATCGCAATCGCAATATGCAACAATATAATCGCAGTACGGATTTACTGTTCATATCGAGCAGCTCCAGTGTGTGTGTGTGTGTGTGTGTGTGTGTGTGTGTGTGTGTGTGTGCAGTGGTCAGTCTAACGGACTCACTGGACTTGCGGTTGTCCTCGTTTTCGCGGTACAGTCTCCTCACTCTCTCCACCAGCTCCCATTTCTCACAGCAGCCTGAGAAACTGACAAAGTTTCTGGCCAGAATCTCCTTCAGCTGTCTGATCGTCAGCTGCTCCACGTCCTCCAGGCTGGACAGGTCAGAGAGGGAGGCCCGCGCTGACCGCCGCACCGCCGGACTCACCTGAACAACACAGTCAAAAACACATACTGAGGATTAAAGGTCCTAAAATATGAAACGCTGATTTATTAAGTTTTTTAATGGTAAATTAAAATGAATAATTATAATTGAAAACTATCAATGCAAACAAATTTATCAATGCAAACTTAAGGGTGATGTGCTGCAGATGGTCCTTTTTTAAAAGGGTTCTATATGGCACTAAAAAGCGTTCTTCTAGTGTTACAATGTTGAGCTTGTAACAACAGAAGTACGCTTTTCAAAAAGAATAATTTATAAAAGTGCACGGTATGTTTGTTTATCCTCGACAGCAATCAGACTTGATTAGGAAAAGATTTCAAGCCTTGTAGACCAACTGGGGAATTTGCTTGCAGCACAGAATGTTTAATTAGTGTTTCGTCATGAATTAAATTAAATTAAAAATTGAGGTCTTTTTTTATGCTGTTTTCTGTTTCATTTCCATTGATTTTCATGGCTTATTTCAGTGTGTTTTGCTGCCTGACGTGCAGAGAAAATCGACACCAAGTCTCCAGCCTGTGTGAAACCACTGCCCAGTTAACATGGGCACCGAAATGAAAAGCAAGAATTTCCGCATCACTCACGCCACGCAGACGCAGTGTGTGTTAATCAGGCCTAAAGGGTGTGGGGGGGTTGAGGGGGGCTGCATATATCAGCCTTCAGCTGAAGTGAGCTCTCTCAGTACCCAGTATCTACTCACCTCTGGTGTGCGGTCAGTCGACTCGAGGTTAAAGAGTGTGGTGGAGTCAGCGAGGTCCTACAACATCAACCACACAACAACAACTCAGCCACATGACTCGCGGTTCGAGTAAATGAGCACATTTAGAGACAGGCTAAGCTAGTTAGCTGCATTAGCGAGGATTAGCCAGAGAGTGGTTGAGGTCACCGATAAACTCAGCACATCTTATAGAAACACTTGCGGTTTATTTTAACCTCACCTGGCTGAGAGTACGGCGATGAAGAGAGAGAGGGAGTTAAACTGGGTGTGCTGGTCTGTATATGGTAAGCAGCCTAAAGCGATCCAAATAATCAGCTGGTATAAAGTAAGAACGTGCATTCTGGGCCGTCCTGGTAATGGAACTATAAGAGTTAATGATGGTTAGCTAAACTGGTGCTGGCAGCTTACAGATGCACATTCAGAAACGTGTCTTACGCCTCCAAAACGGCCTAAAGGCACCCTTCGGTCACTGCACTTAACTGCCCCTTCAGATGAGCTAGTGTGCTAACACTAGTGCTAACCGGTGCAGCAGTAGATGGTGATGACCTGTGGGCTTCTACACAAGGTTTTCTTTCTTTTGTGAATGACGCACCAGCAGATTTTTAGAGGTAACACTGAAAACAAAGAAATCGTTTCACAGGTTTTGGTTCTAGCTAATGGCAGCAAGAATAATTATTAATTAGCTTCAGCCTCTCTAGCTCTGCTTTGTCGAACACATCATTGACAATGCGTCTTTCACAGAGCGCTCGCATTAAGGTGCTCAGGTTTCCTTGTAGGAAAGTATACACATACTTTTTAAACCTTAAATATGAGCAAAATGACACAATTTTAAACATGATGTTCATCAAACTTTCACTGCATTTTCATGGAAGGAATTTTGTCAGTCAAATTGGATTTTCACATTGGACTGAATAAAAACGTTCAGTTATTCTGCTTCTAAACTGTGGAGCTCAGTTCACCTTTTATTAGACAGTCGAGCTCAGAGCTCACTTTTAATAAACATCTGAAAACGCAGCGCTTCATTAAAACTCTACGTCTCGTAGTTTTTATCTTTTAATTAAAATGATCTGTGTCATTTTCTTATATGATTCTTATTTAATACTTATAATTTCTTGTATTACTGTTTAACTTTATCACCTGTCTGTAAAGCACTTTGAGCTGCCACTGGCATGAAAAGTCCATTTTTTCATACAGACTATCTGGCAATCAGAAAATCCACTGGCATGAGTTTCAGTGATGATTTCGACCATATTAACATGAAATGCAATGAATTCATGGGAACATATTTAATCTTTAAATAAATCAATAAAAGACACGATGCCCAGAATGCAGAGACATATAAAGTCGGGCTACCATACGGATTTGTTGGACTAATGAGACACGCAGCACGCGTAGTTGTGTTTAAGTCAAGCTCTCAAAGCCTGATTACGTCATGGTAACAGAAAATGTTCTGGCTGGTGGAACAACAACTGGTAAACTGGGTAACATGGGAACCTGTATGTACGACTTCAGCCAACTGTTCGGATGATAAACTCGAAAATTCATGAAAATCGTCCAGATGCGGCAACAGAAAGCAGGATCAACACACCTGACTGGTGGATCCTGAGCTGTCGCTCCTGCTGATTGGTTCTCCATGTGAAGGGGAGAGCAGGGGGGCGGGGTCTGCGGTGGATGAGCTGTAAAGTGGGCGTGTCTGCAGAGTGGGCGTGTCGGGGTCATCCTCACTCTCCGCCCCTTGGTGACACAGCACCAAGTCCACCAGGTCTTCTTTTTCCCTGCAGGCATCAGGAATAAAACATCACGTCTGACAATCTGAGTTCAGCACCTGAAGGTCTTTCTGATAAACTTAGAAGCAGAAAGTTAGGCCCAGTCCCAATTATTATTTTCACCCCTACCCCTTGTTTTCGAGTGTTGCCCCTTGGAACTGAGTCACAGGGTAGTGGTTGAACTCTTCCCTCTGAAATGGGACCCTCAAATAAAAAGAGCATCACTTCATTAACAGCTACCAGCGCTGCTCTGTAGGCGACCCTGCCAGTCTGCAGTGACAGCAGAGGAGGGTAAAGTTCAGCTCCTCACTGCTGGGCTTTAGTTACATTTAGGGCATCATATGCCTTCAAAGAGGGGGGCAATTATTTATTATCACCCACCCCTAATTCTTCAGTGATATGAAGCTGAAGTCAGATATTCACCAGCTTCTTGTTCAAATTTTATCATTCCACCTTAAATGGTGCAGCAGTTCAGATGCCTGAGGCAACAGAATGTAACTGCTGCACCATTTAAGGTGGAACGGGAAATTTAGCTACTGAGACATCAGCACTGCTAGTAGTGATTTTTACGCCTGTGATGAATAAATAAACCATAATACACTGAAACAACATTAAACTAAGATAATACGATGGTTATCATGATTTTAACAGAGAAAATTCTCACATTTGTGTGTTTCTTTGGTCTCTTGTTCAGCCATCTTGCCATTTGTTCCTATTTTCTCATAACTCTCTGTTTGGAGTCTCTGAAAACCCTCTGTTTGGAGGATCATGTAGCCCCAACACTTCACCTTATCCCTCTATCTCAAGAATCGGGACACCCCCTACCCCTAGACGAGAACACACAAAACAGAGAGGCAGGGCTGAGCGGTAGGGGCGAGGGGTAAAATGGGACTGGGCCTCAAACCCTGCAGAGCTGAGGCCTGGAAGGAACTCAGTCTGACACCCCTGCATTAAACGAAGAACAGAATCAGACTGTGGTTCTGCACTTGTGTTTGCTCTGGACAGCTTTTTTCATGACCCGTCCACCAAGTGGCTAACAGTTAGCGAGGTCAGTGGTTCGCTGCAGTGTAACTGCAGTATCAGTGCTGGTTCTACAGAGCGACGGGTACCTGCAGGTGTCTGTGTTGATGTTGCGCAGCGTCAGGTACTGCCGCAAGTCTTTGACCCGCAGGCGCATCAGACGCGGCCGCTGGAAGGCCGTCCCATTCAGCAGGTGACAGGTGGCGCACCTGCGCAGGTTCTCCTGCAGGACGGAGCACAGCGAGCAGAAACTCTTCTTACAGTCGCAGCAGAGGTGCTGAAACAAACACAGCAGAGAACAGAGAGAGACGTAATAAACACAGAGCAAACAGAGACGAGCAACAAATAAACTGAGTCACAGGGAGGAAATAAACAGAGTAAACAGGGAGTTAAAAAAAGAGTAAACAGATACGAACAGTTGTACTGCACAGAGAGTAAACAGAAGGCAACAATAAACAGTGTAAACAGAAAAGAAAACAGATAGTAAAGTAAACAAAAAGTAAACACAGGAAACAGAGTTAAAATAAGGGTAATAAATGGTAAATAAAGAGTAAATAGAGTAAACAGAGTAAATAGAAAGGCAATAAATAGAGTAAGCAAAGTAAACAGAGAGTAAACAAAAGGCAATAAATAAATGTACATGGAGAGTAAACAGAAAGGCATAAACAGTAAACAGTCAAAAATAGGGTAATAAACAAAGTAAACAAAGAGTAAACAGAAAAAAACAAAGCTAATGATAAACAGAGACGTAACAAAAATGTAATAAATACAGAATAAACAAACATTTAACAGAAGGAAAACAAGGAGCTAACATAGAGGCAATAAATAGAAAATAAGAGTAAACATCAAATAAACAGCTGTAAACAGACACAGAACAGAAATTAAATAGAGAGTGATAAGAAGCTTCTTTACTCTCATAAGAAAACTGTAATTTCAAAACAGTACATTTATAAGAGAAGAAAAAAAGGTTCATAACTTAAACGTAAGTCAAAATGATATAACAGTACTGTTTCCATACAGTCTGAAATGTTTGACTGAAAAGAGCAGCTGATGTTTTCAAACGCTGTAACAAAAAGATATAAAACCGGAAAAAAACCTGAACACAGTGATGATATGGAGTTAGAATGGTGAGGCGCAAAGGGAAGCTGCACCAAAATACAAAAACACTCCTGAAAGGAACGTAAGGGTCAAATGTCACTAAAGAAACAGGTTCCACAACATGCACTCCTGTCTAACAGTGAGGTTCCTGACAACACAGTGAGACACACTGTGTTTCTACAGCACTGCAGGCAAAACAGACAGTTTATAAGAACTACAGGACGTCTCACATTACATAATTACACATCTACTTTCCTTTGTGTTTCCATCACTATTCTAGCAGCTTCAGACGCCACTCAGACCTTTAAACCAACCAAATGTGCGCAGTAATCTGTAGTGCAGTGACAAGAAGAGCAGCTTTCCTTCATCACTGCTGATCAAAACCTCCAACTTAAAGCGAGAGTTTGGCCAAATGTCTCATTTATCCACAGGACCCCCATGGACCCTCACAGAGCAGGTACTATTTGGGTGGTGGATCATTCTCAGCACTGCAGTGACACTGACGTTGTGCTGGTCTGAGTGGATCAGACACAGCAGTGCTGCTCGAGTTTTTAAACACTGTGTCCACTCACTGTCCACTCTATTAGACACTCCTGCCTTGTTGCTCCACCTTGTAGATGTAAAGTCAGAGGCGATAGCTCATCTGCTGCTGCACAGTTTGTGTTGGTCATCCTCTAGTCCTTCATCAGTGGTCACAGGACGCCGCCCACAGGACGCTGTTGGCTGGATATTTTTGTTTGGTGGACTATTCTCAGTCCAGCAGCGACACTGAGGTGTTTAAAAACTCCAGCAGCACTGCTGTGCCTGATCCACTCAGGTCAATATCAGAGGTTTTTCTGGCCTGGTTGAAGTGACATGATACAGCGAGTGATACAGCTGACCGATGGAGGAGGACCGCAGACAGGGCGAGTTGACACACAGGCCCGGCTAGTGGGCTGCTATGTTAAAGGCTAAATTGAGGCTAAATGTTCATTATGCCAAGAATTCGGCGGTTCCTTCTGCTTTCTCAGTGACATTAACCAAGACTGTGAGTGACCACACAGCAGCAGACGAGTGATTACTGAAAGAAGCAGCTCAGCCAATCAGGTAAGCGACTCTGTTAGCGTGAAAACGGAAAGATCAGAAAATAGCAAAAACCTTGCAGTTTGCAGAGTTATGAGTTACAGAAAAGCAGCTGGTGCTCACCCTCCTCCTGAAGACGGAGAAGGTCTGTCTGCAGGCCTGGCAGACCAGGCTGCTGGAGTTCGGGGGGTAAGTGGAGTATCCCGCAGACGGAGCGAAGCGGAACGGCCCTGCACCTCCGAAACCCGCCTGCTGCCCCCTCACAGCCCCGGTGCCCATTACCTCATTCAGCAAACCACAGCACGATGCCCACATACAGGAGGCGCCCGCCTGAACACAGAGACAAAACACAGTTAAACAATTCCTGCATAAATAAACAGTTAAGATGTAAACAGAGTCATTCAGAGTGGTTTGGTGTGAAACGTTCCGTTCTAGATAAACTTACCGAGTCAGAACTGTTCACAGTGGTGGTGATAGGAACCAGACGTCCCCCTCTAAAAGCTCCCTCACAGAAAGTTCCTACATGAAATGGTTATGAATTCACTGTCTGATGACTGAGACACTGTTTTATGATAGTTTAGAGAACTTAAACTCCATTCTGGGTGGAGGGATACATGCAGGGCGCTGTGAGGCAAAATAGTCCCCAAAGAAAACTGATTATTTCAGATTTTCCACTATTTTCCATCATCAACATTCCATATAAACTCAGAAGACTCGTGTAGGTTCACTGGTGGTTCTGGATAGTAAATAAAATGTCTATATTTGTGTCGTAGTCATGGCGACCCCTGGGTCCTATCACCACCACTGTAAAGACATCTGAACCATTTCACACCAAACCGCTCTGAATCTCTCTGTTTACACCTCACACACTGAATTATGGGGGAATTTTGAGCTTCACACAACACTGTTAAAATTCTCATTCAGCCTAATGAGAAACTGTATATTATTACATATTTGGTTCATAAAAAATGCAAAACTACAAAACTGAATGTTTTTCAGCCCTTCTAGCCTTTTCAGTACATTTAAAAGTCCATCTGTGAAGCAGGACTGTTTTGCCCTGTTAGCTGTGCCGGTTGCGTTGACTCCAGTTATTTCAATCGTTACTGCTGGACCTTTTAAGGTGGAATGGGAAAATTTGAACAAGAAGCTGGCGTATAAGGAGCTGACTACAAACTCATGGGGAGTTGAAAGATATGAAAAGGGATGAGGAGGCTGCTCTGTTTCTGCTGGACAGGTGGGCAACATTAGGTGATCTGAAAGGTGACTGGTGATCAGTATCAGCTGATAGTGCTAAAAGGCGATCAGCGATCGGTATTGGCTATTGGCTGATTGTGCTGAAAGGCGATCAGTATCGGCTGATTGTGCTGAAAGGTGATCGGTGATCGGTATCAGCTGACTGTGCTGAAAGGTGATCGGTATCAGCTGACTGTGCTGAAAGGTGATCAGTATCAGCTGATTGTGCTGAAAGGTGATCGGTGATCAGTATCAGCTGATTGTGCTGAAAGGTGATCGGTGATCGGTATCAGCTGATTGTGCTGAAAGGTGATCAGTGATCGGTATCAGCTGATTGTGCTGAAAGGTGATCGGTATCAGCTGATTGTGCTGAAAGGCGATCGGTGATCAGTATCAGCTGATTGTGCTGAAAGGTGATCGGTGATCGGTATCAGCTGATTGTGCTGAAAGGTGATCGGTGATCGGTATCAGCTGATTGTGCTGAAAGGTGATCAGTAATCGGTATCAGCTGATTGTGCTGAAAGGTGATCGGTGATCGGTATCAGCTGACTGTGCTGAAAGGTGATCGGTGATCGGTATCAGCTGATTGTGCTGAAAGGTGATCAGTGATCGGTATCAGCTGATTGTGCTGAAAGGTGATCGGTGATCGGTATCAGCTGATTGTGCTGAAAGGCGATCGGTGATCAGTATCAGCTGATTGTGCTGAAAGGTGATCAGTGATCGGTATCAGCTGATTGTGCTGAAAGGTGATCGGTATCAGCTGATTGTGCTGAAAGGTGATCGGTATCAGCTGATTGTGCTGAAAGGCGATCGGTGATCAGTATCAGCTGATTGTGCTGAAAGGCGATCGGTGATCGGTATCAGCTGATTGCGCTGAAAGGCGATCGGTGATCGGTATCAGCTGATTGCGCTGAAAGGTGATCGGTGATCGGTATCAGCTGATTGCGCTGAAAGGTGATCGGTGATCGGTATCAGCCGATTGTGCTAAAAGGCGATCAGTATCAGCTGATTGTGCTAAAAGGTGATCGGTGATCCGTATCAGCTGACTGCGCTGAAAGGTGATCGGTATCAGCTGATTGCGCTGAAAGGTGATCGGTGATCGGTATCAGCTGATTGCGCTGAAAGGCGATCGGTATCAGCTGATTGTGCTAAAAGGCGATCGGTGATCAGTATCAGCTGACTGCGCTGAAAGGTGATCAGTATCAGCTGATTGTGCTAAAAGGCGATCGGTATCAGCTGATTGTGCTAAAAGGCGATCGGTGATCAGTATCAGCTGACTGCGCTGAAAGGTGATCAGTATCAGCTGATTGCGCTGAAAGGCGATCGGTATCAGCTGATTGTGCTAAAAGGCGATCGGTATCAGCTGATTGTGCTAAAAGGCGATCGGTATCAGCTGATTGTGCTAAAAGGCGATCAGTATCAGCTGATTGTGCTAAAAGGTGATCGGTGATCGGTATCAGCTGATTGTGCTAAAAGGTGATCGGTGATCGGTATCAGCTGATTGTGCTAAAAGGTGATCGGTGATCAGTATCAGCTGATTGTGCTAAAAGGTGATCGGTGATCAGTATCAGCTGATTGTGCTAAAAGGTGATCGGTATCAGCTGATTGTGCTAAAAGGCGATCGGTATCAGCTGATTGTGCTAAAAGGCGATCGGTATCAGCTGATTGTGCTAAAAGGTGATCGGTATCAGCTGATTGCGCTGAAAGGCGATCGGTATCAGCTGATTGTGCTAAAAGGTGATCGGTGATCGGTATCAGCTGATTGTGCTAAAAGGTGATCGGTGATCGGTATCAGCTGATTGTGCTAAAAGGCGATCAGTATCAGCTGATTGTGCTAAAAGGTGATCGGTGATCGGTATCAGCTGATTGTGCTAAAAGGTGATCGGTGATCGGTATCAGCTGATTGTGCTAAAAGGTGATCGGTGATCGGTATCAGCTGATTGTGCTAAAAGGTGATCGGTGATCAGTATCAGCTGATTGTGCTAAAAGGCGATCGGCGATCGGTATCAGCTGATTGCACTGAAAGGTGATCCGTATCAGCTGATTGCACTGAAAGGTGATCGGTATCAGCTGATTGCGCTGAAAGGTGATCCATATGAGCTGATTGCGCTGAAAGGCGATCGGTGATCGGTATCAGCTGATTGTGCTGAAAGGTGATCGGTATCAGCTGATTGCGCTGAAAGGCGATCAGTATCAGCTGATTGTGCTGAAAGGTGATCGGTATCAGCTGATTGCGCTGAAAGGTGATCGGTGATCCGTATGAGCTGATTGCGCTGAAAGGTGATCAGTATCAGCTGATTGCGCTGAAAGGCGATCGGTGATCCGTATGAGCTGATTGCGCTGAAAGGTGATCAGTATCAGCTGATTGCGCTGAAAGGTGATCGGTATCAGCTGATTGCGCTGAAAGGCGATCGGTGATCCATATGAGCTGATTGCGCTGAAAGGCGATCGGTGATCGGTATCAGCTGATTGCGCTGAAAGGTGATCGGTATCAACTGATTGCGCTGAAAGGCGATCGGTGATCCGTATGAGCTGATTGTGCTGAAAGGTGATCAGTATCAGCTGATTGCGCTGAAAGGTGATCGGTATCAGCTGATTGCGCTGAAAGGTGATCGGCTCAAACACAGGTCAGAGTAGATTTACAAATCACTGCTTTCTATCTTCACTGCATTTGACGGGAGGCGTGTGAGGATGTGGTTCTGCACGCAGCCGTCGCACCTCCGCCAGGAGAAACCAGCAGCTCCATTCACACTGAAAGCGCATTAGCGGGTCACGTAGGATGTCCTGCTCTGAAACAGGAGCCAGTGACTAAGATCAATCTCATTAGAAATGAGACCGAGACTGTGCTGAGCTGTAAATAGGGATTAACGCTCTTCAAATAACTCAGACAGTCACCCAAATCTCTCACTGATGATCAGAGGACAAAACCCACCTATATGATGTGGTAAGGGGGGGGCTGTGATCTTCACTTATTAAATGACTATTAACTCTGTTTGTATATGAAACGTGTCACAACTCCTATTAAAGAGACACCGATCCACACATAACACAATATCTGAGAAGCAACACTCATCCTTTATTCACCGTAGGAGCTTTTCTGATAAGCTACTGTGGCTTAAGGAGGTGACTTCACTCCTCTAACTTACCTTGTAAAACAGGTAAATCATATGATAGCAACCAAACAACAACCGAAAGGGGAAGTCCACTCTTTTGTTTTTTTTTAATTCTTGCATAATTAAACGATGTAAATATTAAAAGATGTAATCAGAGCAGTTTGGTGTGAAACGCTCCATTCTAGATAAACTTACCGAGTCAGAACTGTTCACAGTGGTGGTGATAGGAACCAGACGTCCACCTCTAAAAGCTCCCTCACAGAAAGTTCCTACATGAAATGGTTATGAATTCACTGCCTGATGACTGAGACACTGTTTTACGAAGATTTTGGCCTTAAACTCCATTCATCGTGGAGGGATACATGCAGGGCGCTGTGAGGCAAAATAGTCCCCAAAGAAAACTTATTATTTCAGATTTTCCACTATTTTCCATCATCAACATTCCATATAAAGGTTCACTGGTGGTTCTGGATAGTAAATAAAATGTCTATATTTGTGTTGTAGTCATGGCGACCCCTGGTTCCTATCACCACCACTATAAAGACATCTGAACCATTTCACACCAAACCACTCTGAACCGCTCTGTTTACACCTTAACCTTTTAATTATGCGAAATATTTTGAAAAACTGGTGGAGTTCCCCTTTCCTTTAACATCAACACTAACTTCAGCTAAAGCTAGCTGTAGCTTTAACTGCAGCTCTGGGATGCTAAACAAGTGTGTTTAGTGTTACATAATTGCAGTTCTGACCCTGTAAATATGCAGTCAGACAGCTAAATCAGACTGTAATACTGATAAAGGGCATAAAAAGCTCTATACTGTATATTTTAGTGCGCACAGCACAAACTTAACACTACACAGCCTAAGTTACAGTTAGCACCGCTAGCGAAGGGTTAGCCTCTCTGGACCAGTGACTAAAAACAGTCGGTCCACTTTAACTGGACCTACTGATGTAGTAAATGTACTGTAATTAAAGGCAGTACCTTCATAGCCACTCCGGATGACTGGAAGAGCTAATTTAGACTGAGAACCTGGCCGTTCCGAGGGCCGAGAACACCATCAACAGCTAACAGCTTCATCTTCACTCACTCCGAGGGTCCGTCCCATTCGGAGCCGGCCGCCCATGTGCCCTACTCCCTACGTAGACTCCGCCCTCACAGGGCTGTGTTCCGATAGAACACGTTTACTTACAGATTCAGAATCAGAGGCTGTGCTCGAAATAGACTACTACAATGGTTCGATATAGAACCACGAACACTCAAAGAACTACTTGCATGCTTAAAGGGTTCTCTGCATGGTTAAATGGTTCTTCATACTGATGGAGATGGAGTGTTGTATATGGTTCTATATAGAACCAAAAGGTTGTTTTCTTTTAAAAGCTTGACATCATAACAATAGCTGAACCCTTTTTGGTGCCATGTAGAACCCTTTTCTTTATAGAACCATATACGACAAATTCTTCATCAACCTAAGGATGGTTCTTTGAGTGTTCATGGTTCTACATAGAGCCATTGCCATAACTAAAGAACACATGAAGAACCATCTTTTTCAAGAGTGTACGTAACTTACTACTCGAATTCTGTTTGTACCTAAAAGTAGCCCACATTCTTAAAAAATATGGTTCTTCAAGGGTTCTTTAGCAAGGACAATGGTTCGATATAGAATCATGAACACTTGAAGAACTTCTTGCACACTTAAAGGGTTCTCTGTATGAATGGTGAAATGGTTCTTCATACTGACAGAGATTGTGTTGTATATGGTTCTATATAGCACCAAAAAGGTTTTTTTTTTCTTACCCTTTTTGGTGCTATATAGAACCCTTTTCTTTATAGAACCATATTCGACACATTCTCCATCATTCTAAAGATGGTTCTTTGAGTGCTTATGGTTCTACATAGATCCATTATCTTAACTAAAGAACCCCTGAAGAACCATCTTTTTTTAAGTATGTACATAACTTACTACGCGCATACTGTTTGTACTCAAAAGTAGCCTACATTCTTAAAAAATATCGTTCTTCAAGGGTTCTTTAGCAAAGACAATTGTTCAAAATAGAACCACAAACACTCAAAGAACTACTTGCATGCTTAAAGGGTTCTCTATATGAATGGTGAAATGGTTCTTCATATTGATGGAGATTTTGTGTTGTATATGGTTTTCTATAGCACTAAAAAGTTCTTTTTTTCTTACCCTTTCTGGTGCTATATGGAACCCTTTTCAATTAAGAACCATATACGACACATTCTCTGTCAGTCTAAAGATGGTTCTTTGAGTGCTCATGGTTCCACATATAAACATTGTCTTGACTAAAGAACCCCTGAAGAACCATCTTTTTTTAAGTATGTACATAACTTACTACGCGCATACTGTTTGTACCCAAAAATAGTCTACATTCTTAAAAAAATATGGTTCTTCAAGGGTTCTTTAGCAAAGCCAGTGGTTCTATATGAAACTATGAACACTCAAAGAACCCTATTTATGGTTCTTTGAATCGTGAAAGGTTGGTGGACAATGTCCTGTGGTTCTCTATGGTTCTCTTTTTGAAACTGGTTCTAAATAGGACTCTGCTAGGATTCTGCTATTGTTACGCTGTCAAGCTTTTAAAAAGGTTCTATATAGAACCATATACAACACATTCTCCATCAATCTGAAGAACTTTTACACCATGGAAAGAATCATTTAAGCATGCAAGCGGTTCTTTGAGTGTTGATAGAACCATTGTCTTTTCTGAAGAACCCTTGAAGAACCGTATTAAAAACTCTGCTCCCTTTAAAGTGCCCTAAGTAGGCTGCCATGATGTTCATTGGAACGTTCAGCCTAAAGCGCAGCCAATCGCAGCTCCGTCTCCAAGAACCGCCAATTACGTTTACGTTCACTGCTGTTTTTCCCACCTCTATTCAGACAACTCCCGCCCCTGCTTCGATAGGATTGGTGTATTGCTCGTGCGTATGACCATCTAGCCAATCGTAGCGCAAGTGGTGGTGTACCACTGGCCAATCCCGGCGCTAAAAGGGCGGGAGTTTACGCAAAACGGGTGGGAAAACAGTTTGAAGCGTAGCATGCGACTCAATCCAAATTTTACAGCTGTTCACGTTGAGAAACAGTCTATTTAACTTGTGTCTGACAGAAAGTGGCCGACTAGAATGGGTCAGGAAGATGTTTTGAACTTGTAAATCGACAATGGATGTGTGCGGAGGAGCCGAAACGTCGCTAGTTAGCCTGGTTAGCTAAGCTAAAGGGGTCTGGCTGTAGTAACTGTAGCGTTAGTTGAGTCGTGTGGATGAAGAAACTAGTTTATTGGACATTTATAACCGTTCATTAGCCCACAACGATGGCGAGCGTACATGAGAGTCTGTATTTCAATCCTATGATGACTAACGGGGTGGTCCAGGCTAACATCTTTGGCATAAAGGACTGGGTCACTCCATATAAGATCGCCGTTTTAGTTTTGCTCTATGAAATGGCAACAACCAAATCCATCGCTCTTCTGGACAGGAGGAGATTAAACAAGCTTATTTTGCCCCTACAGCAGGTCAGTGAGGTCATTTGGCTCTTATTAGAGGTGCAATGTCATTTCCTGGCGAGCTTGAAATTAATTGTACGTTCCACCTTAAACGGCGCAGCAGCTGCAGTTACATTCTGCGCCAGAATGAAACTGCTGCACCATTTAAGGTGGAACGGAAAATTCGAATAAGAAGCCTGTTGCATCGTCCTGGACGGGTTTGTTCACTCGAAGAACTTCTTGCATGCTGGGTTCTCTGTATGAATGGTGAAATGGTTCTTCATATTGATGGGGATTATATATGGTTCTATATAGCACCAAAAATGTTCTCTTTTTTCTTACCCTTTTTGGTGCTATATAGAACCCTTTTCTTTATAGGACCATACATTCTCTATCATTTTAAAGATGGTTCTTTGAGTGCTGATGGTTCTACATAGAACCATTATCTTAACTAAAGAACCCTTGAAGAACCATCTTTTTGTACATAACTTACTACTCGCATACTGTTTGTACTCAAAAGTAGCCTACATTCTTAAAAGTATGGTTCTTCAAGGGTTCTTTAGCAAAGACAGTGGTTCTATATGTAACTATGAACACTCAAAGAACCCTATTTATGATTAAAGGGTTCTTTGAATCATGAAAGGTTGGTGGAAAATGTGCTGTGGTTTTATATAGAACTCTTTTCTATATAGAACCATATATGACACATTCTAAATCAATCTAAAGATGGTTCTTTGAGTGTTCATGGTTCTACATAGAACTATTGTCTTAACTAAGGAACCATTGATGAACCATCTTTTTTGAGAGTGTACATAACTTAATACTCACATACCGTTTGTACCCAAAAATAGCCTACATTCTTAAAATGTGGTTCTTCGAGGGTTCCTTACCAAAGACAATAAGATATAGAACACTGAACACTTAAAGAACTTCTTGCATGCTTAAAGGGTTCTCTGTATGAATGGTGAAATGGTTCTTCATATTGATGGGGATTGTATACGGTTCTATATAGCACTAAAATGTTCTTTTTTTCCTTACCCTTTTTGGTGCTATATAGAACCCATCATTTTAGGACCATACATTCTCCATCATTTTAAAGATGGTTCTTTGAGTGCTGATGGTTCTACATAGAACCATTATGTACATAAACATACTACTCGCATACTGTTTGTACTCAAAAATAGCCTACATTCTTAAAAGTATGGTTCTCCAAGGGTTCTTTAGCAAAGACAATGGTTCTATATGTAACTATGAACACTCAAAGAACCCTATTTATGATTAAAGGGTTCTTTGAATCGTGAAAGGTTGGTGGAAAATGTGCTGTGGTTCTATATAGAACATTTTCAAAAATGGGTTCTGCTATTGTTATGCTGTCAAGCTTTTAAAAAGGTTCTGTACAGAACCATATACAACATGTTCTACATCAATCTGAAGAACCTTCACACCGTGGAAAGTCTTTGAGTGTTACTGTAATCCACAAAGTCAGTTGTCTGTGTAGCGAAAAACTTTTAAAGTATTTATTACAGGTAAATACTGAAGCCCTGAAGGGCCGTTCGTTTACATGCTTTCACTCCATATTAATTGGTTTTCTTTCTAGACTTCAATTTAGAGCCGTAACACGACACAACGAATGTTTTCTTGTGGTCTCAAGATATTCACGCGATTATCACAACATAACTGATGTTATATGGATAAAACAATGTCCGTTATGCTATGATAATGATGTAAATATTAAGAATACAGCATTTGTTTTGCTGTGATAATTACATGGATATCATGAGATCTCGAGAAAACAAATGAAAATAACCAGTTAATTTTCATGGAAAAAGTGGAGATGGAATCCATGGCCCTTTTGAGCTTCTGTAGAAAGACTTTCATTAGTACTGTTGGCCCAAACTTCACAGTCAGGATCACAGTGGATAAAAAAGAGTAGAGGTGGGCGATATGGCAAAAATGTAATATCACGATGCTTCAAGAAGTTTTTATGATACGCTGATCAATATGCATCATGATATTTAGGCTAGTTATTTTTTAAATTTACTTAATTTGAGCAGATAAAATAGAACACAAAATACTATATTAGTGATAAAAATAACAAAACTACGACTATGATTTTTATTTAATGTTTTACAAACTGCACTGCACTAAAACCAATTAAACAGGCCTAATTTTGCTCACTCTGTAATGAGTGTTTTAAGTCTTTAAGCACTGACGATATCCATGACATGCTCAGAAAAGCAAGCTGAGGCATAGTTGATCACGATAATGGTAAAAAATATCGTGGTATCGTTGCTGACCCCTAACGTTAGAAAGTTTTCATAATTTTCATAATTAAGTGGAGCTGATAAAATGGACAGTGAGCATAGAAACAAGGAGGTGCTCATAATGATATGCCTGATCAGTGTATATTTAACATTTTCCACACTGTACTGCACTAAATCCAATTTAAAGGCCTTATTAAGCTGTTTGTAATCAAGCTTGCAGTTGTGAAGTGTTTTTAAGTATGGATGATACCTACAATATGATCAGAGAAGCATATCGTGACGTAATTTATCACGATAGTATTTCCCAGCCATAATCAAAGGTACCCATTTTATTCCCCAG